TTCCCATTTTATCGCCTGAGAATGTCATAAAGGACGAAATTAAAATCAGTTTTACCGTTGTACAGATTGAAAAAGGGGAGAACCGTTGTAGAAATCTCGTTCCATTGAGATTTGAAGCAATTCGTGCAGGTTTCTCCACTGCCACGGGGACTCCCTGAACCAATCAACATTTCCACCCTTTCTGCAAGTGTCACTTTACCACTGCCAAAAAATATAATAACTTCTCTCGCAATTGGGGGCGAATTAATTATTCAAATGCGTTGTGCTGTATCTTTCAAGGGAGAAATACAGAACTATCACCATTCGCAATCGTAATTTATTAATTTATCAGTGCTAATTATGTATGCATACAGCCTAAAAAACAAAAACTGAATACAAAAATATGAAAAAAATATGTTTGTAGAAAACAGAGAAACTACAAAATATAAGTATTTCAAATTAAATTCACATTATCCTTATCAAATTCACCTTTTTCATTTAAATTCATTTTTTGCAAATTAAATTCACAATATTGCAAATTAAATTCACTTTTCACTATCAAATTCACTCTTTTGCAAATTAAATTAATTCTTTTTCGAATCAAATTCACTTTTTTTGTAAATTAAATTCACTCTTTCTCATATCAAACTCACTCTTTTATAATTCAAATTCACCATTTTTACCATTAAATTCACACATTTTTTTTACTAACCAAATTCACTGTTTTGCAAATCAAATTCATCATATTTCAAGTTAAATTCATTCTTTTCTATTCAAATTTAGGTTTTTGTAATTTATTCTCTTTTTGCAATTTACTCTCTTTTCGCAAATAAAATTAATTTTTTATCAAATTCGCCTTTTTGTAAATTAACTTCACTCTTCCTTATATAAAATTTACCCTTTTTCAATTTAAATTCATTTTTGTAAATGCAATTCACCCTTTTGCAAATTAAATTCACTTTTTCACTTATCAAATTCACCCTTTAGCAAAATAAATATTTCCCACATAAAATTCACTCTTTGTCAAATTAAATTTATTCTTTTTCGAATCAAATTCATTTTTCACTTATCAGATTCGCCCTTTTGCAAATTAAATTCATTCTTCCTTATATAAAATTTACCCTTTTTCAATTTAAATTCATTTTTGTAAATGCAATTCACCCGTTTGCAAATTAAATTCAGTTTTTAATTTATCAAATTCACCCTTTTGCAAATTAAATTCACTTTTCACTTATCAAATTTTCTCTTTTGCAAATTAAATTCACTTTTTCACTTATCAAATTCACCCTTTTGCAAATTAAATACTTCTCACATAAATTCACTCTTCGTCAAATTAAATTTATTCTTTTTCGAATCAAATTCACTTTTTCACTTATCAAATTCACCCTTTTGCAAATTAAACACTTCTCAAATAAAATTCACTCTTTGTCAAATTAAATTTCTTCTTTTTCGAATCAAATTCACTTTTTGTACATTAAATTCCCTCTTTCAATTATCAAATTCACCCTTTTGCAATTTAAATTCACCATTTAATTCACCCATTTTTTTACTGATCTAATTCACTCTTTTGCAAATCTAATTCACCATTTTAAAAATTAAATTCACTCTTTCACTATTCAAATTCATCCTTTTTCCATTTTTGAAATTTCATCCTTTTCTAACTTACATTCACTCTTTCAGTCATCAAATTCGCCCTTTTGCAAATCAAACTCACCTTTCTGCAATTTCAAATTCACTTTTATCTATTAAATTTATCCATTTTTACAGACCAAATTGATCCTTTTTGTAATCAAATTCTTCATTTTGAAAATAAAATACACTCTTTAACATGTCACATTCACCCTTTTGCAAATTAAATGCATGCTTTTTCAAATCAAGTTTACTCTTTTACTTACTTTTAAATCAAATTCACAATTTTGCAAATCAAACTCCCTCTTTCACAAGCCTCACCTTTAGCAATTCCAATTCACCTTTTTGATAATTAAATCGCCTTTTTACTAATCAAGTTAATTTCACTAATTTCGTGGTCCACTTGAACAATTAATATATTATAATTAATTAAGGTTTTTAGTTGAGATAAAAAAGTCAATGGCACGAACGGGATTCGAACCCGTGATCTTCGGCTTGATACGCCCCTGCTCTACCACTTGAGCTATCGTGACCTCGATCCACTCGGACACCAACTTCCCATCTCAGCCGCACCTTTTGAATTTTCCCTCCTTTTTGCCATTTTTCAAACTAGTCAACTAAAAACCTTAATTAATTATAATCATATTAATCTTTTTGCAAATGAAATTCACCTTTTTGTTAATTAAATTTACTCCTTCACATATCAAATTCACCCTTTTACAGATCAAATTTACTTATTTTCTATGCGAATTCACCTGTTTGAAAATCCAGTTTATTATTTTGCAAATTAAATACACCCATTTGCCCATCATGTTCAACTTATTATTAATTAAAGTAACCTGTGAGCAAGTTTAATTTATGATTTTTTAAAATCAAGTTCATTTTTTTACAAACAAAATTAATTTTTTTACAATCAAATTAGATTTTATGAAAAATAGTAAAAATCGTTTGAAAATCAGTTCAAAACATAGAGATTATATAAACGAGATTTGTGATTATTGTCGTATAAATTCTACGTAGTCATTCGTATTAGATTTTTTACTAACATTATTTGATTTTTTAAATATATGATAGATTTAGAAATACTTGACTGCAAAAGGGTGAATTTAATTTCGAAAACCTCTAGTAGGGTTAATCAGGAGGTCATAATGCCAATGACGCTACAATCTTCGAGGAGGATTATCTAGAAAGTACGGTTTCTGACATGAGGACATTTCTGTGACAGGATAATTCAGCAGACTGACGTGAAATCCCCACATTTAACAGGCAATGTGAGAAAGTAAGTTCATTTCCATAGGGTTGGGAACTATGTTGTTCTAAGGGCAGAATTGTTAGAAAATTAAGGCAAACTACTGGTTTTATTGTGAATGGTTTTAGAGGAGATGGAGATAGGAAGAGGAGATGTTGATTTCTTGTACTTTGATTCTATTGAAGATTGTAGACACAAATAAAAAACGTAAAAATTTTCTTCATCGGACGTAGCCCATGAGTGAATAGGAGGAAATTAAAAGCCAATAATAATATTACACCCCGTGTGGCCTGATATCTTCCGGATTGCATTCATGAATTCCAAGCGCTTCAGGCCCGCTTTAAGCAGATCAGGCTTAGTCGGCAGACTTAAAATTCCAACGGATATCATATCCTGCACGTACAAAGATCCGCTGTTTTTTCTGTATAATTTTCCTTAGCGTTTATTCAAGCTCTGGTTTCTCGTATTAAATAAAAAATATTTTATATACCATTATGTTGTAATCTATGCTAAATACTCTCCCGGAGCTATACTGTGTTCAAAGCTCTCAAAATTATTTAAATAATTTATGTTTTTATATTTTGAAACTTGTTTGTCGGTCTGCTACTAGATTGTCTTGTTTGTTCTTCACTGATCGTCCTGGTCCGCCTATTTTCGCTGTATTTTTTGCCAAGACGGTTTCGAACATGGCCTACAAGCTTAAGACTAGAACTAAAAATTACAAAGTAGTGAAAACCTGAACAGCGAGAAATAGCGGACCATGATGGTCAGGGTGTTACGGGTATTTTTATTTATTTTCTAATGTTAATAGTTTAGGAGAAATTAAGGCACAGAATTTGCCATATTTTACAACGTTAGATAAACTTTGCCATGGGTTATTCATCAACTATATTCTTCACCCAGACCATTTTCGTCTTTTCAATTTCATTTTCAATGCACAATGGGATAAACCACCTTAATAAAAACGTTTTTGAATAATTAATTAAGGTTTTTAGTTGAGATGAAAAAAAGTTAATGGCACGAGCGGGATTCGAACCCACGATCTTCGGCTAGATACGCAGCTGCTCTACTACTCTTTTTATATCTCAACTAAAAACCTTAATTAATTGTAATGTATTAATTGGTCAAGCGGACCACGAAATAAGTGAAGTTTTTAAATAGTTCGCCATACTCAGAGGCCCAAACTGAAAAGGAGGCGCGGAAAAGCTCCTGAAAGGAACATCGATAACAGACGGATCGTCATACACGATCAAAGATTCTTTCGTATTTATGGGCAAAAATAAACTAATCTTGTTTACTGATTTATTCCCTGATGTAAAGAAGAAAAACTGAAGCAAAGAGTTTCCAGCGTTGTATAAAATTATACAATTTTTGCCGGTTGGTTATTCATGATCCGCCTTTGCTCGCAGTGCCGTTCACAAAATTTTCGCACTTGAATAATTTTCAAACACTTCAGGGCAAAAAGGTGTAAATTTTCATCCAAATTAATTTATCCCGATACGCATTCAAATGAAGAAGAGCGTCTTGGTGAAGAATTCAGCGAGAACACGCGGACCTTATTGGTCAGGGACAATCAATCTCTGTTATCAACGGTTTGATCTGTTATTGCACAATAAAACAAGTTAATGAAAATAAATCCTTTTACCCAGACGTTTATATTTTATTGCACAATAAAACACGTTAATGAAAATAAATTCTTTTACCCAGACGTTTATGGACATTTTGCCTTATTCAGAAACTTAAACAGAAGTACGAAAAAGCATCTAAATCGACCTGACTTAACTAATCTCCTAATGGTCCTGAGTACAGCGTTGTATAAGTCTGTTAAGTATAGTAATCCTCTGTGGGGCAAATTTTGTAATATTTGTTTTGTAATTAGATCATAATCTGGAGCTTTTCGTGAAGGTAGTTGTTTAATTTGTTGAATTTTGGTAGAACAATATTCTAGTTTAGTTTGATGTACATGCCAATCTGACCACTATGCTGTAGACTGTGAATGTCTCCGACTCCCTGTCTGTCCATATTTGCTGATTTTATCCGTCAGAAGTGTTTTAAATTTAACTAGATTCAATGATCCGTCTATGTGATCCTTCCTACATATTATCATATTATAATTGGGAAAATTATACAAAAATCAACTTACCAATACAGATACAGCTTGGCTGTAGCTCACGAGCCTGCAGAACTGTAGACCGAACGGCCAGTACTGCAAAAGGTTAGGTACGCAGGAAAACGGCACGCACAACAACGCCATGAATATGTCACCGACCGCGAGGTTACCGATGAAGAAATTCGTTACCGTCCTCATCCGCGGGCTGCTTTGTACGACATAACAGACGAGCCCGTTTCCGCACAGTGCTATCACAAAAATCACGATGTAAAGACAGTAAACGGCCGTCTGGAAATACCCGCTGGACAGGAGCCCTTCCGGGCCGACGATCGTACAATCGATGGTGTGGTTGTCCGTTTCGTTGTACTCTTCCAAATGCACCCATTCCAACTCGGACATCCTGGATTTAACTCCTGGCCTTGGGTACAACCTAAAAAAAAACAATATTATTAATAATTAATCCATATATGTTTAGCGGTCATAATTGACCATAAAAAGTTAGTGTCATGAGCGGGATTCGAACCCATGACCTTCGGCTAAATACGCCGCCGCTCTAACCGCTTGAGCTATCCCGACTTCGAGCCACTCGACACCAACTACTCATTTCAATCTTACAACCTAGCCGAAGATCGTGGGTTCGAATCCCACTAGTGACGCTAACTTTTTCATCTCAACCAAGACCTTATTAAAAATAATAATTAATTGAAATAATTAAAAATGTTATTCAGAAGTTTAAATAAGCAATATATGATAAGGAAAAAACTGTTATTTTGTATTTATATATACAGGGTGAATTGCTACTCGTGCTACAAACTTCTCCAGTAGATTCTTCACCCTAAAATGAACAAAAAAGTTCATATTGTCCATNAATCAACTCCTGAACTTATTAATTTAAGCCAAAGGCTCTTAATCGTAAAATCATAATGGAGAAGGCAAACCGGGCAAAAAAAAAAAAAAAAAAAAAAAAAACAGTGTATGTACAAAAATTTTAAAGAGGAACCGGCTTATGAATAGGATGTTTTCAGCAGCTATCATGACACACCTGGTCAAAATTCAGCATACTTAAAACTCAGCAGTTTGATAATTATCTGAGAAATGGCACTCTCCTATAGGAGAAAAACGTTTCAAACATATAAAATCTGGACTAGAAGAATTTTTTCAAACAAAACCAAATAGAATATGACTCAATGGACTCATTCCTTCTTTTAAGGTCATTGACTGTTATGAGTGCAATTCTTTTTCCCTTGGCATCTTAGTACGATAGATTATTTTCCATCGAGTGATTTTAATTAGAAGATTATATGGGTGGGAGTTTCTTCCTCATTGCGTAAAAGGGGCCATCTAAGAATACATCAACGTTGTTTAGGTTTTTCTCAGATGTCTCAGACCTAGCATTTAAAGTTTTACTCTAACTGTAACGCTGTGTTGCCAGGATTGGCAAAGGTTCTTTTAACCATGTGTTTACTACTCTGGCAACCTCCAGATTCGTCCATTTCCTCTTTTCATTCGTGTGAACTCATTCTGAGATGAAGTAGTTTGGTATTATTGGCCCTGAAGATCCTGTTATGGGCTGGTTGTTTGCTTGTTCTTTACCGAAATTCCTTTGTGCCCTGATCCCAAGATATTGTTAAGGTGTTAGGTTATCCCAGGTTTTGGAGGTTTTAGATGTCTTCAATGACCATTTTGGACGTAACAGGTTAACGTAATAATGATTTTAGGACTGATTGGCAGTCTGATCTCATGAGGGATCATAGAAAGATTTTTCGACCATGAGTTTACTGTGCCTGGAACGTGTCCGACGGTGTTATGTTTCCGCAGGTTTTGGAGGTTTTAGATGTATTCGCCGTTCATTTTGGGTGTGACATTTTCAAGCGCAAATGGTATGATGGTATATGAAGAATTTTTGTCAATGTAAACATTTTTTTAGATTTAGACTAATTGAACCGTATTGACTATTTGATAGAAAGGTGATTCAAAGGTATGTAAAACCTTGTTATTTTTTTAATGGTTGACATGTAAAATATAACAATTTTTTGGTGCTTTATTGGATTTAAACTGTAAAAAGAAGGTTTTGTACATTTTAAAGTAAAACAAAGAATAAATTTTCTTGCTGTACATGTAATCAAATCGTGTATTCATTCGTAATTCATTTAAGCAAAAGGCTCTTAATTTTAACATCATAATGATGAAAAAAATAACATTGGCTTGGGCATTTAAAATATACAATATAAAATTTAATTGATCATCTTTGCTATGGTATACAACAAAATATTTATCCAGGTAAAATTTTCCATACGCTACATAAATTGCACAAAACAAAAAAAAATGTTTTAAAGGTTCAGATTGTTGCATGTTTCAAATTAAACAATTGTCATTTTCATTCATATATATTTATAACTTTTGAAATATATTATGATCAGCTCTGCATTAGCTAATGTATATGCATCCTCCGTTTATACATTGGGATTAAATTTGAGTTTAGATGATACAGTTTTTTTTTTTTTTTTTTTTTTTTTTTTTTTGTAGTGGAATTAGATTTCGATAAGATCCATTATGTTTTGAGTTAATTAACCGGTCTATGTCCAGTGATAAAAGGTGGTTTGTTCATCTCTCAATAATAAATATACATCTATACATTTTAGTTGTTTTTTATTATTAAAATATTTCAGATTCAGCTCTATAGTTGTCAGGATCACTTGAATTTGACAGAACCAAATCTGCAGATTTTGCAGTTCATTACCTTATCCGGATTTAGATAATTTGCCATTAATGATCAAACGATATCAGGCCTTTTTCGGGGGACGTGATTGAACGAAAGCCACCATCTCACTCTCTCTCTCTCTCTCCCTCTCTCTCTCTCTCTCTCTCTCTCTCTCTCCCTCCCTCCCTCTCTATTAATTTGATTGATTTCCACCTTATTTCTACCCTGATAAAATGATTAGGGGCGTTCGTTTTAAAGTAGAATAAGTTTTTAATAAACCTAATCTGTGCTCCGTCAATTTCATCGAGGTGGCTTATCCCCCGAATTTTGGATGCGTTCAAAATAATTGCAAAAAAAAATGATGTCGTCGGCAAACATTAAAAGAACAGAAATGCGAAATTATCGAACTGCATCCTTCCAAACCGACTTATCTAAAGAAATCAATGAAATCCGATAAGAAGAGTGAGAACAATGTCGGAGAGAGAGATTCACCTTGTAACACACCTTGAGTTACTCTAACAGCGTTGACAACAATTATTCCAAGCCGATTCTAAAATTGGCGTTTCATCGAGTGATTCTCAGAATTTTATCTATTAATCCTAGTCTCCACATTTTTCCACCAAATGGTTAATTTTTTTAAATGCCTTGCGGAAATCAACAAAAACGGCAAAAAGTAATTTTTTCTTCTCTAGGGTATACTGAATCTGTAAATCATTTATAAAGGAGAAGTTATCAATGCAGCTTTTCCCTCGTCGAAAACCTGCCTGCACTTAATCAACTCTAGATATGTTTACTTCACGCAGATTCTTCCGAAAATTAAGTAAAAACCTTTAAAATTAAGTCATCGACGTCTCAATCAGGATTTTTTCATAAAATGATAAATTGTGCTTGTAGACGCAAACACTTCGAATGAATATTCACACTCAATTTAAATAGTATAAAATATTTAACATGAGAAATCTAATTTGTAATCTTCACTTTTTCCTAATTGCCAGATATTATCAGTGCAGGTAATATAATCTCTCTTAATCTCGTCTGTTTGCCTGATGAACCAGCTTTTTAATTAAAAGTCAATAGCACTTTTCTCAAAGCAAGAAATACCTTTTAAGCTTTCAAGTAGAATCGTGTACAGTAGAGTTTTCTTTTACCAATCGGGCAGTTGATCAATTAAAATAAGTAAAAAATTTCAACATTTTTAACTCTTCTAAATATTTATTGGTATCGTTCCCTAGGGTTAATGTTATAAGCTTAATTTTGTAAACGTTTCGTTCTTGATTCAAAAACAGAAAAGGGTCCTGAGGTTTACTATCAACAATTGCAGTTAAGAGAAGCAATTGAGGCTTATCGTTCCAAAACCACTCGTCGACGTTTAAACGAACTTAACGAACTTCATGAATTGAAACTTGCTTGAATCGTCACTTATACAAGTTATAGGAAGTGAAAATAGCTTGTACAGCAATTTCCACTTCGGCACACCTCCCAACACGTTTAACCTCGGCTGTGTAGAATGCAGATTTCATCCCTTAGTCCTGATTAGTTGAACTAAAGCTTGGCTTTAGCTGACAGAGATGAAAATCAAGCATATTCAGATGCAATCCACCTATATACAAAAAATACATCACTGGTGATCTTGAACAATAGGATTAAACAGATATATTAATAAATAAAAAGAATAATCATAAATTATTTAACTGTCATATTGTGCACTTTTACATAACATTGTTTTTTACTAAATTCACTATTTTTCGTGGTCCGCTTGACCAATTAATACGTTCAATTAATTAAGGTTTTTAGTTGAGATAAAAAAGTCAGTGTAACGAGCGGGATTCGAACCCACGCCGCTTCTCTACCACTTGAGCTAACGTGACTTCAGTAGCGGCGTATCAAACTGAAGGTCGTGAGTTCGAATCCCGCTCGTGACACTGACTTTTTTATCTCGACTAAAAACCTTAATTAGTTGATAGAAATGATAAATGAGGGAGTGAGTGTGGTGTTCAATGCTTTTTAAAAGGATAGTTCCTACTCACAGTAAGTTGTTTTGCAACGATCCGGATTTCGAGCGTTTTTGCTCATCATCAGGTTGAAGGACTTCTACAACCACGTCTCTTGACATGAATTGCCAAAGTGAAACCGCTTATACCTCCGCCAACGCGACGTTCCAATTATCAGCTGATTTTTTTAATGACGCTCAATTTGAACGTGCGAAACGTGTTTTTTTTTTACATTTTACAGTAGAAATTTGAAATTAAAAAAAAACATGGTGATAAATGCATTAATAATATAACAGATTTTGATCTACCTCCCATTTTAAATATGTACATAAATAATATCAAACATCCAAATAATTAAACTAATTATTTTAATTGTTAATATTTTTATAGTAATTTATGTAATATTAAGTATTTATTATTCTAATATTTATTTGTGTTGAGCGTCATTAAAAAAATCAGCTGATAATCGGAACGTCGCGTTGGCGGAGGTATCAGCGGTTTCACTTTGGCAATTCATGCCGAGAGACGTGGTTGTAGAAGCCCTTCAACCTGATGATGAGCAAAAAGGCTCGAAATCCGGATCGTTGCAAAACAACTTACTGTGAATAGGAACTATCCTTTTAAAAAGTATTAATTAGTTGATTGTTTTTTACATGAAAACTACAAAATGGATGGAACTAGACTATCACATTCCACCTGGTAGTCCTGACCTGGCTCCTTCAGGCTACTCTCCCATTCAAGCATTG